TGAACTTCAGTCGTATAATAAATCTCTTATTAACCAAGCTTGCTCGGGACCGCACTGGAAGAATATCGGCCCTCGGTCTTTTTTGTACGGACCGAGGGCTGCGAGGTCCATACTGTCAAGACCTCGGGCCGATATTCTCCCAGTACGGCCCTCGCGCTTGGTTAATAAGATATATATATTTCTCTACGAGCGCATATTTCGAGCTGGCCATTCCAAGCGTTGGATTTGCAATTGCCTTTTGCGTTCGATTTTTACTTATCAATCTCTCGTTACAACTTAATCAACATAAAACGAGGTAAAAATACACTCGATCAGATAAACACGAACTTGAAGGATTATTACAAAGCACCCGACAAGCGGACCAGCTTTTGGTCTCTCTAATCATCTGTCTATCACGATCCAGCCCAAAGTTCCCCAGAAATCCCAAGCCCTGAGCAAGATCGTTAAAACACGCGATAAAAGGCCAAGCCGCGTTGCCAGTCAGTTGGTCGATTTCTGTTGGAGGTCCCATTGGACACTTCGCTTAGTCATGCCTAGTTCATGTGATAATAAACTGGCCGCAATTACGGGGATCATCCAATCATGCCTGGGCGATCAGTCAAGGCTCACCAAACGGATAGGCCAGGGCTGAATGCTGATCTAAAGCGCCTTATCCATAAAGGGCAGAAAGTTTTGCATCCGTTGACACGCTCCTAGTCAAGTTGCGAGGAACAAAGTGCACCGGGAAAGAAGAAGGTATAGGGCGATTTATTATAAGAACGAAGTGTATGATTCCACGTGCGAATTTATGTGTTAACTTAGCAATTATGCATGCCCTCTTTGGAACTATTTAAACGCTACGGCTTGTTAGCGCGCGAATATTTTTTAAGTATTCTCTAGCCCGAAGTTTTCGTTGCCGATTTCAGACTCTTAACTTAAGCTTCGGTACCACCGCTACAGTCAGGAAAACATTTGTAAGTCTTGAAACTCTGTCTTCTATGTTTATCATCGCTCGGCCCTTCTTCTCGTGTATTTTATTTATTTTAGTAAGTAAGTAAGTAAGTAAGTAACTAAGTAAGTAAGTAAGTATACTTTATTGGAGAGGGTGACATTTGACAGGAACTAAACTGATAACCTAATGGTCCTCGAGGTAAATACAAGAGAAAATTAATCAAAAACTGACCTACAATCTAGCAAACATAATTTATATAAAAAAGATAAAATCTACTAGACACTAATGAAAGACTGAGTAATAATTTGATTTTTAAAAATTGATTTATAGAGTGATCCTTTAAAATGTTTTGCGCTAGGACTACGTTTAAGATGTACATTTAGCTTCTTCCATTCTTGGATTCCTCTTACGGTGAACGTCCGGCCACCTTCTGTATATCTCTTGTAGCGAGGACAGCTTAAATTTAGATTACAGAATCTGCTTTTTTTATTATGGATGTCAGAGTTTTTGATTAGTAAGTCATTTATATATTCTGGAGTATTACCATTAAGTCTTTTGTAGGTTAAGGTACAACGCTTTACATATGATTCGACATAGAAAGGAATCCAGTTTGAAGTATTGAATAAATGAATAGACGGGGCCGTTTTTTCGGCATTTAAAATAATTCTAGCTGCACGTTTCTGAAGGCGAAAAAGTTTCTGAAGATTTTCCTTACTACAAGAGGTCCATATCGAACTGCTATAAAGGAACTCAGGTTTTAAAATCGTGGAGTAATAAATTTCACGTTGATTGCATTTTAGATAAGGACTTATATGACGAAAGAGGGCTATCCGTTTCACAAGTTTTTTTGCTCAACTCCTCTATCTGACGATCAAAAGCAACGTCTTTATCTAATTATATGCCAAGAAGCTTGAAATCGGTGACATTTTCAATGGAATTTCCATTCAAATTTACATCAATTGAAAGAGAGGCAACTTTGTTCCGTAGGCGCCTCCCTGTTACTAGCATGGACTTGGTTTTTTGATTATTTATAAACATCTTATTCTGTGCTGACCATTCAGTTAGGCGTTTAAGATCCTGATGGTTGATGGCTGAGATGTTTTCCCACCTAGCGCTTTTTGATAAGGTTATATCATCAGCATAGATGTCCAGTGTAGAGTCTCGTATACTCAAAGGCATATCATTTATAAACACAAGGAAAAGAATGGGTCCTAAGATTGTTCCTTGAGGAACACCTTGGAGTAACTGTTGACTAAAGGAGCAGCAGCCATTTACACGAAGATACTGGTTCCTTCCTGTAAGATATGACCTAAACCATTTTACTGTAAGGTCTTTGGCTCCATAAATTGACAGTTTCTTCAGCAATAATTCATGATTTATGACATCAAAGGCTTTTTTGAAATCGACGAACGTTAACCCTGTGACCATATTCTTGTCCGTATTGAAGAACAGTTTTTCCTAATCGAACCTCGCTCGCTCACTCGCTCAATCACAAACCTCAATCGGCTCCTCGAGTCTCTTCAACCGAGCGTGAGTTCGAAATTTTTCTAGACGTAACATCGACAAGAACCGTAAGCTACACAAAGTACAAGACTTAAAGGACACGCGGCCTCGCGACTGGAGGCGGGAAGTCAAACAACTCTGTGGCGATGGCAGCAATGCACGGAAGGATGTCAGTTCAATGGCGCGGTGCCATTGACCGCATATCTCTAATTCACTTCTACTGCGCATGTATTCGTTCTGTCTTCGACTGACGCCTCTCAAGCTTTCCATTCTAGTTTACCAGCCTACTTGTCTGATCAAACCGAGAGGGTTAAAAAGCGAGTTTTAAGGATCATTTTATCCAGAGGCGTCGTATAGAAAAGCGCTAGAAGATGCAAATCTGAAAACACTTTTTGATAGGCGAGAAAAATGATGCGTAAGTCTATTCAATCAGATCAAAGAGAGTGATGGCCAGCATAAATTAGCTGACCTGCTACCGCGCGCAATAATGCTTCTTAGTGCAACCTAAGGAACTAGCGAATGTTTGCTTTGCCCGGTATCAAGACCAAAAGGTTTCAAAATTCCTTCATAATGCAGTATGCAGCAAAAGAGCAAATGTAAATCTAAATAGGATTATTATTATTGATATTTTTAATTGTTTATATTTAGAAGTTAGCATTGTATGATTCATATTTTTGTAACATGTGCTTTTTAAATTATTGTAAATTATATATATTGCGCGAGTAATTCAGCTACTAGGTGTTAGTTGTGATTTTGATAATACACGATTTACGATTTACCTACATTCACTTCATATCAAGCTTATGACAGTTTGATAAACAGCGGATGTTTTCTATTATTCCCGCTTACAGTTAGATTGCTTCATCGGAAAATTACTTCTATCGTAAATGAAGGACAAAATATAGTCACTGAATCACTCCAAAGCGAGTTTTTCCTTATCGAAAAAAAAAGAAAAAAACCAGCGAGATATTGTTTTAATCACTCCTGCAAATTATCTAAAAGCGAAACCAAGCGGAGCGAAGGAAAGTCGTGACTGCGGAAGTTATTCATAACACCTATCCTATACGACTGTACATGTGTGCGCTTAGTTTGTTCAAATCGAGAAAAACCCACCTCTTTAACGTATTGGCCCGGGCACCATCAGGCTACCCCCTCGGGTTTCCCACCCCCAGAAACCCTGGGGGATGGGACAACAATGAATATCACGCTAACATTTCGTTATCACCTTCAAAAATGAAACTGAAACTTCAGTGTCATTCAGGGCTAAATTATGGCGAGTATGTCGATGGAAGGCACAAGTATTCAGTTTCCATGTATTCTGATAAACAGCCTAAAAATTCACTTTACCTGCTTTGGAATCGCTTACTATGAGGCAATCATATGTTAACGACTATGGGATCTGCGTGGGCGCCATTTGGAAACAGAGGAGTCCCTCAAGACAACACTGATTTTGATCTTGAGGCCATGCAACTTAAGAGCCCATGACTGTCAATATCGAGAATCGCTGACCAGGCTGAAAAAATAAAAAATTCTGATAATTTTCCCGGAAAACTCCTTTAGGAAGATATATTATAAAAAATATTTCAAAGTCTGAAAAATCAAATGTTTCCGAGAAAATTCTGGAAAAACGAAAATTCGGGTTTTTACCTAATTAATTATGCAAAAAATACAGTAAAATTGAGCAACTTTAGTGTGCTAGTACTGAGGGAGGATGTTTCGTAAGAAATTGAGGATGCTTT